GCTAGGGTTGTGGCTCAGTGGTAGAACACTTGCCTAACATGTGTGAGACACGGGGTTCGATTCTCAGCACCACATATAAATAAATGAATAAAATAAAGGTCCATCAACATCTGAAAATATTCTTAAAAAAAGAATGCAAGCCATAACAAATGCTGGCAAGGATATGTGAAAAGGAGCACTTATACACTGTTGGTGAGACTGTAAATTAGTATCACAACTATGGAAAGCAGAATGGAGATTCCTCAAAAGACTAGGGATGAAACCATCTATCCCACTGTTTAGTGTTTATCCAAGAATTAAAGTCGGCATACCTGCATACCCATGTTTATAGAAGCATGATTTACGATACCCCACATATGGAACCACCAATAGATGAGTGGATAAAGAAAATATGGTATATATGCACACAGTGGAGTTTTATTCAGCCATAGGAACAAAATTATATCACTTGCAAGAAAATGGATAGAACTGAAGAACATCTTGTTAAATGAAATAAGACTTTGAGGGTGAAGAATAAATATGGAAACTTCAGAGAAAAAAAAGTAAAAATAAAGAAAAAAGAAAATACAAGTGAGACCAGTAATTAGGGTAGAGGAAAGGGATCAGAGGGAGGTAGGAGGGAAAGAAAAGGAGAAGTACTGGGGCACTGGAGAATGAAATTGATCAGATTATGTTATGTGCATGTAGGAATGTCACCACGAATCCCACTGTTATGTATAACCATAATGCACCATTTTTTTTTCCAAAAAAGATATCTGCTTTTGACAGCACATAGAGGAGTTTCTGTTTTCATTTATCCCTTGCAGGGCAGAACTTACACTAACCAAGGTACATGACATAAAATCCCCATGTCCATTTACCAGTTTCCAGTGAGTGGTATAACTGTCCTGTGAATAGAGACTTGCACTGATAGATCCATTAGAAATTCTGTCTGTCCACTACCTTACACAGGACGGGGAATAAAGTCAGAACTTTTTTTTTTTTTAACAAGGAATACATAAAAAGGGTAAATAGATGGTTTGTATATTTAAAAGATTTGTTTACTTAACAAATATTTATAGATCCATGACTATGTTTTGTGTTCTGTGCTAGACACTGAGGAGTCCACAAGGAATACCACCAGTGACTGCTTTTTTTTTTTTTTTTTTTGCAGTGTGGTGGGGAGGCAGACAATAAACTGACACTGTAAGTCAGTGTCAAAAGTATTCCTTGCAGGCTAATTCCAAGATGACATGGGAAGATTTCAGAGGGTAGGTGAGGGCTTGGGGGTACAGCTCAGAGGTGGTGCTTGCCTAATATGCCCAAGCCTTGGGTTAGATCCCTAATACCCCAAAAGAAGGGGAACTGAGCCTTGGGGGATTTGGGTGAGCCTCCTGTGAGGTGGTTATTAGCTGAGCTAAGGAGTCAGCTAGGAATGGGAAAAAAAAGAGGTCAGTACAGGCAAGGGCAGTGCAGGCAGTTTAGCCTGACATAGCTTTCTAGAAACTACAAGTGGTTCAGCATGGTGGTGTGAGGAGTCTGAGGGTGGGGTGACAAAGCAGCAGATATGGCTCATGGACTTAGGCTTGGACTTTATCTCCATAAAGAGTGGGGGAGGGAGGGGGCAGAATTTATCTTCCCAATTACCAGAGTACAGCCAATATTGTGCATTCCTTTCCTCAGTGAACTGTCAGTGAAGATCTGAGTAATATCTACACTGTGTTCTGTGTACACACTACGCTTCCTTTACCTACCCTAGCCTCAGAGCATACAGCTCTCCATCATACACTCTGCTCCAGACCCACCTAACTTTCCTGTTTTCAGACTCACCCGTCTTTCATTACGCTTTTATATACCCCACACTCCTGGCATCCCTACCAACCCTACTTTCAAGAAAGTAATGGATTTTGTTTTCTTTTCTTTTGAGATGGTGTCTTGCTATGTTGATGAGGCTGGCCTTGAACTCATGTGCTTAGGTGATCCTCCTGTCTCAGCCTCCCAAGGACTACAAGGAGTACACTGGGATAAAGAAATAAACTCAATGTTCCCCACCCTCTTCCTTGACAGCAGAACATCAATGCTGTATTATTCTTCTTTCTTTGAAACTAATCAGTAAAAACAAACCTATGCACAAATAATTCAGATGGAAGGTTAACTCTGAAGGGTCTGAGCCAGGAGTTCTCAATCAGTACTACCCCTCTAGGAAGCATGTATGGAGAGAAAGAGAGTAGTTTTTCAGTGTTACAAGGCCAGGGGTGAGACTGATGTTTAGAGAGAAGGGACCATGGATGCTAAATGGCAAACCAAGTCAAATAACCAAAGCAATCATGGTGCTCTCACGCCCCTTGTCAATCACCACTTTAGGGATATCTAGTGACACATTTCTGGTCAAGAAGCTATGAGTGACCTATTATGAAACCTCTGGGGTGCTTCCCCAGAAACAGTTTCTTCCCAATCTTCCATTTCCATCACTGGCACCTCCATTTTCTGTTACAAAGTCTTAAAATAATTTGGACTTCTAACCCTTAAGGTTGGGGTGACTATGAATTTATATTTGCCCATGATAATCTGATTTTACTCCTAGTCTCCCGGTGTAATTGTTAATAGTGCCCACTTTCACTTCCAAGTCTTCTAAATTGCAGGGCAGATTATATGGTGGACTTATTTATTCCCACTGAGTCCTGGTCATGCTTGCAAAAAGTACCTCTAACACAGAAGTCAGCAAACTGACCTGCAGGTTGTTTTTGTACCTACTGAAAGCCTTAAAAAATGGCTTTGACATTTTTTGGGAGGTTGGGGGGGGGAAATCAAAAGAATACTATTTCATGACCACTGAAATTATTTTTAAATTTCAGTGCCTGTAAAAAGTCTCATTGGAACACTGCCACACACATTGTCCTCTCCGGCTTCCTCATTACAAGGCAGGGTTGTGTAGCTAAGACAGAGACTGCCCACAGATCCTAAATCATCTGGCCCTTTTCTGACAATGTTTGCCATGCCCTGCACTAATGCACTAGTTTCAAGTCTCCTTACCGCATGCAAGCTTACAAAAGCCCACTGTTTGCTTCTTCTCCCTTCTCATACTCCTGATTGCTAGACGATCTCTAGAGGAAGAGAACTGATCTTGCCCCATCCATACTCCCAGTGTTTCCTCCAAAGCCCGACAGTACTGTCCTACTCCTTGATCCTAAACACTACAACCTAGATTTCCAGACTTTGCTCCTCTTCCTTTAAAGCCAAATGGACTACTTTGTTTCCCTACCGGGTTATACCCTAAGCAGTCACTGCCCGTCTATGCTTCTCCTCCATTCCATCGGTTCCTCAAAATTACACGACAACAGTCACTCCTTCGACAGCCTTCATTCATCAAACCGGGGGGAGGCTCAGAGACACAAGGACAGACGAGGGCAGGAGACAGCCTGTCAAAGGAGCCCAGTGCACGAAGCAGGCGTGCCCAGAACGAGGCTCCGGAGGGGACATTTACACTGGGATTTTAAAGATGGAGAAGCAGGCCAAAGGACGTCTCCCAGCTGCACTAAATAGCAATGAGGCTGAATGGGCGAAGGGGAGGCCACCTCATCTCCCCACTTCGCCACGCCGCGGAGACCGAGGTACGAGCAATGAGGACACCTCTGGTCTGAGCTCCTTTAAGGGAATTCTGCTCGAGCAGCCAAAAACCGCCGGCAGCGGCGCCCGGCGCCACCGGGATCACCGACGCCAAGGAGCCCTATCCTCTCCGGGGCCGAGGACTCCAG